TAAGTGACTTAGCCTATTGCTTTTGCTTAATGGCCAAATAAATCATTGAATCATTGAATCATTATAATCTTTGTAAATTGGTGTATTGGCGTTGGTAAATAAATAAATCCAATGTTGACCTGTTAATTATCATCATCATACTTTACTTGCACAACGGTAATGGTATTAGTACTAGAACCCATAATAAAAAATAAAAAAATTCCACCACCTTCAAATTTGAAGGTGGGCACTAAAACCACTCCGCCACCCAGTCAGTCTGTAAAATAGGGTTAATTTTCATTAGGCTAAATAACCAACACGTTTGGAATTACAATTAAATTGTCCGTTGGTTTAAAGTGTTTGACGCATTGTAAACATGGTGTAAACAAGTAGAGTACACCGAGGGCAAAGATTAGTGCGGGGTGGTCAACACCTCATGTATCCATCAAAATCAGTAATTGTTGTTCATGATTCAATTATCTATTTCAGTCAACCAATATGTTTGTTGTTTGTTAGTTCAATTCATTCGCACTCTGTCAATATCCAACAATACTTACTCCTTAAACTCAGTTCATATAAATTGTGTAGATCCCAAATATTTTTTAAGATGTATTTCCCCAATCGAGCAAGCCTGGCTACTGGTAGAGTGCGGGACTTTGGTTCCTGAAGTCCGGGTTCAAATCCCGACGGATCAAAAATTGATTTTATCCAAATGACAATGCCACAACCTCTAGGTCAAGTCTGAAGTAATGTGAAAAACAATCCTGAGCTCGTGCCTGGTGTTATAGGCAGAAATAAAAATACCCCCGCTGCAGCAAACCTGCTGACTAAGCGAATTTCTGTTTGTCTGAATTGATTTTCAATTAAACCTATTTAAATAACGTTAAGTTTAATGACTACCTAGTTTTGCTGCTACAAGGAAACTTATAAAGTGTATTTTTTGTAAATTATTAATAGCTTAGTATAAAATGAATAAATTTGCCAAGTTTGATCAAAATATATCCATAAACAAGCAAACTACAACATTTTACAATATTCTCCATAAGAATAAACTAGGAATTTTAAACTTAAAATTTTTTTAATATTCCCCGTTACCAATGACCGTACAAAAACACTTTGATATAACTAAATTAATTGTTTTTTAAGCTCTTAAAAAATATCTTGAAATAAATTAGAAAATTTTGTGTTTTGAATTTCAAAATTTTTGAACGTCAAAAAAATTAGAAAAACAATTGTTTTACCCCACAAAACTCCCCCTACAACTCCGTTTCCATGGTCCGATCATGCTGGTTCATGAAATCATTCAAGTTTATCCCGCTTCACACCCTTAAACCAAATTTCATCAAAATTGGACAAAAAGTACTCGCGTTACAAGGTCGCGTTCAAGGTCAACCCCGTATATACAGGGTGTCCCACGAGAGGTGTCTCAAATTGATTACAGGAAAACTGTTTAACGTACAAGGATGAAATAAAACTATTTCCAGCTAAATTGACCCCAAGGAATAACGTAAAAATATTTTTAACTTTATCCCAATACAGGGTGTGCCGAAAACTGAGGGTCACTAGTTCGAATCTTGGAATTTTCAAATGTAAGCATATGTTATGTCATACATAATTTAACAACATTGTTTAACACTAAAGGCCCCATTTCATTAGGTGTTAAACCACGTCAAACCCAAATAACATGCATTTGATATAGGAAAATTAGGTTTCTTGTTATTTTCGTTTCGTGTTATTTGTTATATTCCTTGAGGTCGATTTAGCGGGAAATAATTTTATTTAATCCTTGTACGTTAAGCCGTTTTTCCGTAATCAATTTGAGACACCTCTCGTGAGACACCCTGTATAAATTTGAACAAATGGTGTTTTTGGCCTCTGAGGACATTAAAATGAAAAAGTAAATCGGCCCCGGGCCTAGGTCTTACCGTGCCATCTACGGCAATAGCTACTTCCCTATAGGGAAATTCGGTCAAAAATACAGATGTATCCATGATAAACACATGTTTGGACAAGAGTAGGTTTCACTTGACGCAAATTATTTTCAGGTTGAAAAAGTAATATAGTCTAATAGAATTTTAACATTAAATCACAACTCGATTTTAAGAGTAGTTATCATAGGTTTAAAATATTAAACCTATTACAATACCCCAATCGCTGCAAACCTGCAAATCAAACGAATTTCCATTGGATTATTGGATTTTTACCAAAGTATTTCCTTAAATTTGTAGAATAATGTAATCCCTCTTTAAATGACATGAGATTAAATGATTACCTAGGTTTGCTGATACAGAAAAGTAAAAGTATTTTTTATGCTAATAGTATAGTTTCAAATGAATAATTTAGCCAAATTGGATCAACATATATCCGACGTATGGATCACATTAAAATTTTAAATGTAGGCCTACAGTGTTTTTGAATTGTCTCTGCAGCTCTTAATCCTGCAATAACTTTTCAATTCGCGAACTTTTTTTGCCTTTTTAAGCTACACACGACGGTTTTAACGAAAGATAAAAAATGTGGGTTTGAACAATCCAAAGATAAAAATTGTAATGTAAAATTACAAAATTGCAGATATCTGGTTAACTGATTTTGGAAAAAAATAAGTGCTATTCTTTATTTTCTCTTTATTTCGACCCATATCCCGTGAAACCATATCCTGGAGATTGGCTGTTAATAATGGGACACCCTAGATAATTTATGGCCTCATCAAAACGAAAATCAAGGTCAACTGTAACACCACTGCCGCTAAAAGAACCAAGGAACAAGGAGAGGTATTATTCATCAAAAATATGATCAAACAACTTTACTGTGAAAAAGAAGAACTGAACCAGATTGCCTACGACATCCACCTACAATTTTTGAGATTATACGGACTAATTGCATGGAATTTACTACACGAAGTCGTCAGTGAAGAGGTCGAAGACGCCATGGACCGGAAATATTTACGGATAAACGACAAATTAGACAAACTCGTAGAGAAGAATACACCTAATGAAGACTTGGACAGGACCAATACAGAACACAAATTCCAGAAGAGAGTCATCAACCTTACAGACATTCAATTCAGTGAAGAAGAAACGAAAATACTGAACTACGGAATGAAGTACAATTTCCCAATGAAGAAGAAGGACGAAAACGAACTACTAGCTACTGAAGTCGAAGCAAATGTAAAATCACTCAGAGACGTAGACCATTATGCCGTTCGGAAGGAAGTGACAGCCAACGAATTCACCAGCCTAGGACCCATAGACCCCAGCAGAAATGAAGAACTGAAGACATGCAACAATATAAAGAAGAAGCTGGAAGAGAATAGCTCAATCGTTGTGAAAGCAGACAAAAGCAACGCCATCGTAGTGCTCGGAAAAGAAGAATATATAAAGAAGACGGAAGATTTCATCAAAGAAAATAACTTCAAAGAGCTGAAAAAGGATCCAACGCAGAGGTACCAAAGAGAGCTGTCCGACGTCGTGAAGAGATGCACCAGTGTGATTCCCGAAGAATGTCGACAGAAGATGAACATCCTAAATTCTAAAGCGCCCGTGATGAAAGGGATCCCAAAAATACACAAGAAGAATGTACCCATCAGACCATTAGTTAACTTTAAATGTGCTCCTACCTACAATGTTTCAAAATTGTTAGCAAGTAAGCTCAGCAATGATTTAGAATTAGAATATGTATACAATGTAAAGAATAGTTATGAATTTGTTGAACGTGTAAAGAACATAGATATAGATTCGAATAGTAGGCTAGTCTCATTTGATATCGCAAATCTGTACACAAACATACCTGTATCAGAAACTGTAGATCTTGTTAAATGTAGGCTTTTGCAGAATAGTTTAGACGATGAATATGTCAATCAGATTGTAAAATTGCTTGTGACTGTTTTGAAACAAAATTATTTTAGATTTAACAATAGATTTTACGAACAAACAGATGGTTTAGCTATGGGAAGTCCACTTTCGGCAATTTTGTCAGAAATATTTTTACAGCACCAGGAAAAAGAAATGTTAATGAATTTAAGAAAGAATCATGATGTAAAACTGTATGTTAGATATGTAGACGACATTCTTGTTATCTTCAGACAAGCCCAGGAGCAGGAGCACGAAACGATGATGCAGACACTAAACAGCCACCACCCAAACCTCACCTTTACCAACGAGTTTGAAGAAAACAAAAAGATCAACTTCCTGGACCTCACATTAGAGAGAAAAGACAGCAAGATAGAGTTTGACATCTACAGGAAACCTACGCAAACGGACACTACAATCAACAACAAGTCTATCCATCCGACAATCCACAAGACCGCAGCCTTTAGATCTATGCTGTACCGAGCCTATAAGATCCCACTTAGCCAAACCAATAGGAAAAAAGAACTGGACACCATTAAGAAGATCGCCCAAGTGAATGGATTTCGAACCAAGACAATAGAGGACATCGCAAGGAAGACGAGGAGAAAAATCGATAGATAGAATACACTACACAGCAGAACAACATTAGAAGAGATAAAAGAGGAAAGCACCAGATATATCACATTTAGCTACACGGGGACTACAACACAAAGGACTGCTAACAGATTCAAGAAATACGGAGTTTCAATAGCCTACAGGACTCAGAACACCATGAGTAAAATACTGCATCCAAAAATAGAAGATTGTAACAAATTTGACACTTCAGGCATCTATAAAATCAATTGTAACGATTATGATAGCTTCTACATTGGACAGACTGTGAACTTCGTAAACCGCTTCAAAAACCACATATCTGCGTGGAGGAACAACAAACCGGAAAGATCAAATGTCGCACAACACCTGTTACAAAATGGGCACTCACTAGGAAAAATGGAGGATAGTCTAGATATTTTAAAGAATTGTAAGAAAGGATATGTAATGAATGCTTGGGAAGAATTGTATATTTATAAGGAAAAATGTAAAGATAGAAATAAGTTGATTAATGAACAAATACATTTTGATTCCAGTTGTACTTATAAAAATGTATTGGCCGGTGCTTCCGGTAGCCAATAGGGTATAAGTAGGGACGCCATTCAAGATTCTTGTCATTCGCCTATTGGGTCTGATGATGATTGGAGTGTCCAATCGAAATCGATCACCACTTACCATCGTTTTTGTATATTTACCGTCTTGTGAGTAACAGTATAAGCGTAAATATATGTTTTAAGTGTTATAAGACGTTTCTTTTATTTACTTTCCGTCAACAAAATATACTTAGGTTACATACTTTCCCAATTCATTGTGTATATAACAGGACAAACGCGAGAACAAGCTACAATAGCTTATAACAAACCAAAACGATTGTGTTGACGTTATAAAGTAAGTATATCGATGTCAATGGCGGGACAAGTGATCTTGGCAGCTTGTTTCACTAGGAACACATGGACGGAGGTGATCCCCGTGAATGGCAACCATTTGTCCATGCAACGTGGTCGGTTGGGCAACATTCTCTAAGGACAAACAACTTATGTTACTTGTGACACACTTTTTTACGACAATAAGCATTGTATTGAAGATGAAAAGCGTTTCATGTACTTTAACATTGTGCTTTATCACACTCCTAATGGCAATACGATTTATCTTACTCTTGCTAATTAGTAAATAGCTTTGTATTGTTAGGCTTATAAACTTACGCCTTATAACGAAGACGCTTTTGATAGCTGTTAAGGCTTGATACATATACAAAAACGTTTACTCAACTCTTCGTTCACCTTGCAATCGTGTGGAAGACATTCGACGCATTTTGAATTTCCTATCAAACGTGGGGTAGAATAAGGCAGAAGCTAGTCAGGTTTGTCCCATTTTACAACTAAAAATTGTAATATTTCCGCTATTTCCTATTCAATCTTTTTAAACTTGGTATCGTTTGAAAAGGAATTAAAAATGCTAAATAAATGTGTTCATGGAACTTTTTCATAAAATCAGCCGTTTTTGAGTATAATTAAAGTTAAAAAAAATTAAAATGGCCGTTATTTTGACATTTTAAGTTGAATAAAGATGAAATTCTTTCTAACATGTGTCTCTTTTACCTTAACATACAGTACATAACAAGTTTCCATTTTTACCCAGATATCCGCCATTTTTTTTATACAAAAATATTTTTGTCTGTGAAGTTTTTAATTCGATGATTATGAAACTTGGTAAACATGTTACCATACACAAGACCTATAATACAGGGTGTCCCGTAACTCTCTGGACATACGTATATAGCGTTATTCCTTAGGTCAAGACAAACACATTTCACCATAGGAACATGGGTCTGTGGTGTCTAGTTTACTGACTGTCGGTATTTATGTGTTTTTTACAAAAACATTAATAACTCCTAAACGGTTTGAGATACAGCTTTGATATTTTGCAAAAATGTTTATCTTATTAAGACCTTTTATCGTTAGAAATTATACTAAAAGATCATTAACCGTTTCAAAATGGCGGCCATTTAAAATATTTTATGCCAAATTTTACGAAAACCGTTAACTTTACAAAAAAAGTGCAGGAGACAAAAAAGTTTGTAAATTTTATGTAGTTTCCAATGATACCTTATTTGTTAAGATTGGATACATAATAACAGAGAAATGTCTTCTTTTCCAAATGCCTGACCACTTTTCTCCATTTAAACAATGCTAATACTCCTTTTACGTTGTTTAGCATTGTTTAAATGGAAAAAAGTGGTCATACATTACGAAAACAACTAGTTTCTCTGTTATTATTTATCCAATCTTAACAACTAAGGTATCATTGAAAACTACATAAAATTTACAAACTTTTTTGTCTCTTGCACTTTTTTTGTAAAGTTAACGGTTTTCGTGAAATTTGGCATCAAACATTTTAAATGGCCGCCATTTTGAAACGGTTAATGATTTTTTAGTATAATTTCTAACGATAAAAGGTCTTAATAAGATAAACATTTTTGTAAAATATCAAAGCTGTATCTCAAACCGCTTAGGAGTTATTAGTTTTTTTGTAAAAAACACATAAATACCGACAGTCGGTAAACTAGACCCCACAGACCCATGTTCCTATGGTGAAATGTGTTTGTCTTGACCTAAGGAATAACGCTATATACATATGTCCAGAGAGTTACGGGACACCCTGTATAAAAAATAATAAAGTTGTTCCGATTGTAAATTTCAAAATGGCGGCCGTTTGAATTTTTCTAACTTAAATAACTCGAAAACGGCTAATTCTATGAAAAAATGTCAAGAATATTTTTTTTGGCATTTTTAATTTCCTATCAAACGATACCAAGATCAAAAAATCGGACAAAAGATAACTGAAATATAAGGGGTTTTGTGTAAAAATAAGGCAAAGTTATTCGGGGAACCCTTAATTTTTGCCTTATTTTTACACAAAAACCGTTATATTTCAGTTATCTATTGTTTGATCTTTTTGATCTTGGTAATGTTTGATAGGAAATTAAAAATGCTAAAAAAAAGTATTCTTGACATTATTTCATAGAGTTGGCCGTTTTCGAGTTATTTAAGTTAGAAAAATTCAAACGGCCGCCATTTTAAAATTTACAATCGGAACAACTTTATTATTTTTTCTATCATAGGTCGTGTGTATGGTAACATGTTTACCAAGTTTCATAATCATCGAAATAAAAACTTTACAGATAAAAATATTTTTGTGTAAAAAACAAAATGGCGGATATCTGGGTTAATATGCATTTTCGGACATACCTTCCCATAAACTTTTTTCTTCCTTTTAGTATGTGGATTCATTTCCCAAAGTCCTGAAACGTTTTTTATGGACACCCTGTATATATACAGGGTGATTGATATAAGTGTGCCAGCCGTTTTATTCAAAAACTATAAGAGATATCAAAAAAGGTTAAATGGTAAGTGTCTTTGATTTTTTATTTAAAAAATTGTAGTCAAGTCAAAAAAATTATTTTAGCCGCCATTTTTCCAATATGGCCGCCAACTTTGATTTTTCTTATGGAACACCCTGTATTTTATGATGTCTTCTGGTAGAAAATGTAATTTTAAGACGATTTTATTCCTGTAATTTTTTTCATAAATCTAACCGTTTCAAAGATAATAATGGTTAAAGTTTTGAAATTTCTGCATGAGAAAGAGTTTCGATTAAGGACTAAGCAAGCATGCCAGCTGTTTTATTCGAAAACCATTCAAAATTTCACAACTTAAACCATTATTATCTTTGAAACGGTTAGGTTTATGAAAAAAATTACAAGAATAAAATTGTCTTAAAATTACATTTTCTACCAGAATACATCATGAAATACAGGGTGTTCCATAAGAAAAATCAAAGTTGGCGGCCATATTGGAAAAATGGCGGCTAAAATAATTTTTTTGACTTGACTATAATTTTTTAAATAAAAAATCCAAGGCACTTACGATTTAACTTTTTTTGATATCTCTTATGGTTTTCGAATAAAACGGCTGGCACACTTATATCAATCACCCTGTATATATATATATATATATATATATAGATATGTGCATCGAAGTTTTTATAATGGTTACATTGGCTGTAGTTACCTTATAATGGCTGTTAAGCTATGTACGGGCACTCAATAAAGAATTTTATTTATAAAGAATTTATTTGAATTTGAATTTCCAGAACGGCTATCACCAAAAAATCTTTTGAAATACATGTCATATGGGGCTCTGTTCACATTGCACGGTGAACGAGGAATGGAGTGAAGTTTAAATATCAGTAATATAGTAATACCATGTTAGTTCTAAAAATAAAAATCCACAGCACTAATTTCATAGTTCCATTGATAAACTTGTTTCTTGTCAACTCTCAACCAAAATCCCCGTTCATTTATTGGAAGTATCTGTACATACCCTAACAACATCAAAGGTAGGATACTCGTAGTAGGTTTGGGTGTAGTAGGTGTCTAGGAAAGATCCAAATACGGCTACGCCGAACCCTGCCAAAACCCCTCGATGGTAAGTGAAGAATGCACCCTGCCATTCGCTGCAAGATGTTTTGTCATCAGTGTTGTGGAAGTAGTGTTGACCTGTAAGTTTAATTCTGACATCACTTGTGGTCAAGTGGTCAAGGCCTGGCAGAACTTTCATTACCTAAGGCTAAATATTGAATATTGAATTTAGTTTATCAAGTACCTGTTCAGATAGTGTTAAGTTTTTGGGAGTATTAGTACAGCCTAACATTAAGTGGGATTCTCAGAGTGATGTGATTTGTAAAAAAGTTGCCAAGGGTACATTTATGATTAGAAAAATTAGACCTTTTGTTAGTATAGATGTGTTGAAAATGTTGAAATCCATTTATTTTGCTCACATTCAAAGTCATTTGTCTTATAGTATTGTTGTGTGGGGCCATTCTGGTAGTATTAAAAAGCTGAAACTGTTGCAAAGGAAAGCTGTTAGGGCAATATTCAATGTTGTCAGTGAAACACATTGTAAGCCATTATTCAAGAAACTTGGAATTTTAACTGTCACTTCTCTGTACATTTTAGATTTTTTACTGTATATTAAAAATAATATTAGACATTTCCCTACAAATGATTCAGTTCATAAACATTTTACCAGACAAAACACTTTTCTCCGTCCAAACCAATGTAATTTTATGACCACAATCAATAACTTTAGTGAATTTGGCAAAAGATTGTATAATATATTACCTGCTCACATTAAATGTCTTGAAATACGACAATTTAAATTTACTATTAGAAAGATTTTGTGTGATTTATGTGTGTATAAGGTCAAAGAATTTTTAGAACATATTAAGTAGGTTAATGGATATACTGTGATGAAATTGTATGACGTTGCTATACATGTATTTATAATGTTGATGGCAATAAATGGATTTGATTTGCTTTGATTTGATTTAAAGAGAGCAAAGTCCTAAAAAATATCATCACCCATTGAAACATCACCAACTCTCCACTACTGTCGTTAACTTAAGAAGTGTTAGTTCACAAGTTCTGCTTTGGTGAAGTAAAAAGATAATTAAAAAAATATTGTAATATTTGTAATATACATTCTTTATTCGTCATGTATGGCTGCATACTGAACATGAAAAACGTTGGAGTTGTGCTCTAAGAAAAGGGGTTTTAAACATTTTCTCCCTTCTCTTTTAGTTTTTCCACAAAAGTTGTTATCAGTTTTGGCTACTATTTCGTATATATGCATTCGTATTAGAAGTCTAGTATTACTAAAGTACGAGTATTCATAATAGTAGTATTTGAGTTTTGAATTTCCATGATTTTTGCTATGCATAGCTTTGCTCAAACCAAATAATTGCTGATCAAGAGTCCTTGGAGGCCAATAGCAATCTTAGATTTGCCACCCCTAAAAGCAATGTTAATTTCAAACAGACGCTTAAGATTTATTTACCATCTTAAAATATTGTTTAAAATACCAAAGTGGTTGTAGTTGTAATAGGTATCTAGAGCGATATGAGATAAGAAATATAGTTTTGTATGTGTTTTACGAGTTAGAACGGCTAGGCTCCAAGGACTCACGTAGGCTACAGTATTACAAACCCATGCCGTTGTAGCATCCTTGGTGCCGCAAAGGAAAATTCACATCTTCCTCCCTCAATGGCACTGAGTTCCACTTGGAGTCTGCATAGTAGAACAGCTGATTAATGACGTCATCGACTATCCCGGTCGTCCGTATCTGATCTGATTTGCAAACAAAATTTATTTACAAAAATAACTAAGATAATACAGTCAGAGAGCACAGAATAGAAATAGAGGGGCTACGTATATCTAGCAAGCATTGCGGGCAGTGTAGCCAATCCCCCACCTGCTGTTCCTTATACGGGCAAGTGGCGGCAACTGCTGCATATAGCGGTAGATCACTTTTTCCAAATGTACGATGATTAGACACACTTAGAGTAGACCTAAAATTACCAAATTTGGCTCAGCTACTATAAATTAGTGCTTCTCACTGACAGTAAGGTTGGAATATAAAAAATCATTTTATTCTAATTTTAACAGCCGTTAAAACCCAAAGAAATTATTAAATTATGAATTAGAACATAAAAAAGTAAGTGATCTAGAATTTTTTATTTTTTGGTCAGGAAAGTTTCGTCAGCGGCAAAGTTTGAGAGCTTGAGTTGAATCATAACATATATTTTTTTGAAAAATTAATGATGAATAGTTTTGGAAATAAATCAGGTAGAAGAGGAAGCTAAATTTGGGACCCGCCGACGCTCGGGCGCTGCCTTGCGACTACTCGTCTCTCACTATACTACCCTACTACGCACACAGTGATTGATGCATTCAATATTCACTAGTGTGCCTGTTGCTACAAATCAAGCAATTGTCAAGTACCGGTATTATACAGGAGTTATTAAAAAATAACAGCCATCTTATATAAGTGCATAATTTTCGATTTCAATAAGTTTAAAAGACTCAAAGCTTATGTAACTCATTGAAATACTCACTCTATTAATAACTGATTGAAATAATAAATTTTTATTGTACAAATATTTTATCACTTTTTAGAAGCCGGCCTTATTTTTTAATGTTTTATACAAATGTTTCCTGGCTTATAGCTGTTACCAGTAAACATTTTTTGCATGTATTCATTTGATCTGTCATTAGGTAGGTTATCTTTACCACTGTGACAACATGATTTGTATATCCTTCATGATCTTTTTACTTTTAAAATAAGTTGCATAGCAGAACTGGTAAAAGTTATTCATATCTCCAAGTGATTGTGTATCTGGATTCCTCACTGTTAGGCCAGGCCTCTCTTCTACTCTTCTCATACGTATAAGATTTCCTCTTAACCTCCTCCAGTTTTCAATATTTCTTCTTTAAACTCAAGAACTTTTCTGTTCTTCCAACAAAACTGATTAACTGTTTGGATTGGTCTATAACCTCCTGAATATTACAAACATTAATATTTACTCCCAAGATGTTGGTGAGTTTCTTTTTATATACAGCAGTTTTTTTATTATTTTTTTTTTATTTGTTCAATGTAATTCTTATGGTGATAACCCGACCTTTGAAAAGGTCTCACGCCCTTAAGGGTAGGAACTTTTAAATTCTAAAACCTTAATGCAAAACTGCGAATTGGGCCGAATCTTTTGGTACCTTAAACGTTGAAATTGGTCCACAAATAAAGGAGGAGTAGTGTTTACAAAAAAACAGCCCTCACGTATTAATATAAGAGATTCTAATTTATACATTTACTATAATATAAGCACGGTTACATTTGTATACATACAATTGCTATTCACGTTAATTTAATTATTATTTTGTGTAATAATTAATAACTAAATGATGACTAAATCAGTCCTATATTGAACAATACATTGAATCCTGTTTACAAACTGTTAATAAGGATATTAAAAGAAATTTTTTTTGTTGGGTAGGTTTAACTTTGCTCAAACAACTACAAATCATGTATAAATGGCAATAAACCAATTACACATAACAATAACACATAATTTTTCACGGTAAATTACATGTTTTAACAATAATACTTTGAACATAAAACATTTGACAACAAAATGCTGTTCAGAAATCTGTTCAGAAATACTTTTACTGTCCCAAAAATGGTGCAACGTTTGTTAGGTGGGCCTAAATCGATTTTCATGTAGGCTAACTTGAAAACAAAGAAAATCCTTTTGTGTTTGTTTTACTTTGCTCAAACAACTACAAATCAAGTGTAAATGGCAATAAATGAATTACACATTACAAAAACACAGGATTTGCACTCTAAGTTATACGATTTTGATTTAAATAATATATTTATTTCATAAAATAGCTATTTTATCCGTGTTACTATTGTTTCGCGTACTTAATGACTATCAACCACAATATCCAAACCAGAAAGTTGACTAAATCATCATTGTTGCGTAACTATGTGAGCTTAGTTCTATATGTTTTAAAATATAACGATTAATGAACTTTCCATGATATCGCAATTTCTCTAAAGCTTGGTCCCATATAGTATTAGTTCATAAAATAAACAACTACAATTATGGTTTTTTTACCTCTTTTTGTTATATTTCAAATATAACACATGTACGAATATTCTTTTGAAGGTTTTTCTGTACAGTACTCAATCTATATATATTAAAAATCGTGTAAGGATGCCAATGAAACAATTACACATTAATAAAACCCATTAACCACGGTAAATTGGGTATTTTACAAGTATTTTTACAACATAAACACATTCACATAAATAATTTGGAAAATAAACTACATGCTTGGTTTCCAACACTTGTTAATATTATAACAATGTTGTTTTGTACCGTTCCTGACTCCAGTTACATGCATCAGTATATGAATGTTGCATAGTAGTAACTCGCAGAGACGCGCGGAACTAGGATGACTCATCGCTCTCCCCACCACTTATACGGGCAACGCCGATTTTCAGGTGGCTTCACTTCACTCGCCCGATGCGCTCTCTATTTCTATTCTGTGCTCTCTCAATACAGTGCATTAGTTAGTTTTATTGGTATCTTATGGTGAAGGTGTGGTCTATAAGATATTCGGATTGCTTTAAATTCAGTAAATCAAAAGCGAGTACACATGATGCTTGACATCAAGCATAGTCCTATATTATTATTAACTAATTAAGCTATCTATTCAGAATATTCTTATTTATTGTTCCCACTCTAAAGTTATTCTTTAAGTTAATTAACATAAATTTGTAGTGATGAAATAATACAAAATTTAAAAACTGAATTTATATGGGGAGTATAAGTGATCATTTGTAGGTTAAATAGTATTTCCAACTAAATATCGAATATATTTATTCATAATGTAACAGCGGCAAAGCCTCTTCAAGTTTACAAAGCTTATTAGCAAGGTATATAAAGACATTATTAGCCCCTACAGATATACCTACACATATATAGGACCGATAACCTTTTTTTTGTACAACCCGCGTGTAATTCGATCCAGTAGTATGGTCAGGCTAGCTGTTATAAGTTTTGAAAAAGGTTTTTAATATATACAATTTAATTTGAACCAAATCAGTAAAATGTTAATATTAAAATGTTAGTATACTAATACAGTAGTATACTCACGTTGACATTTTACAAACGGCAAGAGTGAAAAATGTTTTCTTATACAAACACCATCAATGTTTTAATTTTCTTAACCCCAACGTGGTTTGTTTTAGGTCATTTTATTTATCACAATGTTTACTACCGGTAGCGACATTTTAGTCCTTTCTAATGTTAGTTCTAAGATATTGCCTTAAAAAGCTATTAATTTATACACATGATGGTTGTTTGTTGATGTTGTGTTTTGTTCTGTGGTCCTTTACTCGTTTGTGGAATGTGGATGCTATTACACACAACTCCCTACTATACTTTTAGGACTATTGTTGGAATAGTGGTATACGATTATATTCATACTTTACATTTTCTGCCATCTTCTATACTATTATATAAAAATCTAATGGTGTCTGTCTGTATGTGTGTTACTAATAGGTGCAAAAACTACTGAACAAACTGGGCTAAAATTTTACAAAAATATAGTTACCATACCAAGGACCATTATAGGACTATTCACGTTTCGATACTGACCGTAGGCTTTGTCCCTTTGGCTTTAAAGGTCGTGAGGTGAAGATTTTAAAAGTAATATTGATTGGTCTCCATGGCTGTGATGAGATCACTAACAACGTTTGTTTAAATTTGCTTTGACATTTAAATGTAAACAAGAAGAACTGCTAAACTGCAAATTTCACTATTTCAGACAGCTGATACAAAGAAATTAAATATAATATTTTCCATAACTTTGAGGTAGGTTTATTTTAATCTAACCTTTTATCATGGATTATTTATTCTAAAACTATGTCAATGATTATATAATAAAAGATTCTATAACCGTTGCTGTATTAACTCCGGCTCTGTTTTGAATTTTTTTAAGCGTCTAAGTTATGAAAATAATGTTATTAATAATATGATTTCATGGAAACAGTATGAAAATTACAATGTATAGATATTTTATATGAATTTGGAGGCTACTTTAAATAAATTCTAACTCCTTAACATGTGTTAGATTATCTTAACATAACTTGCACATCACATTGTTTTTCATATGTATATTTAGGTAAATTAAGTTATTGTGTTTTGCTAAACCTATGCATGAATTAAACTAAAGAATATCATCAATAACTAAATTGTACAGTACGTCGTTGATTTTTTTTTTTTTTTATCTGTTGTATATGTGTAACCATAATTAATTATCAAATGGTAATACAAAATACTCTTATTTTATCTTAACATAGCTTTCAGTTCACATTTACTTTATTTGATACATTTATTATTTGTGTTTTGCCACACCACTGATTAAATTAAACCAAGGAAAATATCACAAAACTAAGCAGTACACAGTGTTCTTTTGTTTCTAAAATCAATGAAATATCTGTTACTAGACTTTATGGTAAGTGTGAAAATGTAAAGCCAATGGACGATGGAACTGATTAAAAGAACTGGTTTGTATATTAAGTTGTTTGTTGATATTTTTGTAGAGTAGAATCAGAGATGCAATGAAACATATGCTATATTTGCTGTTAAATTGTTTAGTCCTTGATGCTTTGATAATCATATTAGTTTCGTCTGCTGTCTTAATGCTAAATTATTTGTTTGAAATTTTTTATAGTACCTATAGATATAGTTTCTTTAATATTTCAAAAGACTGTATTGAAAAGGCATAGCAATATTTCTAAAGTTTATAACAGCTGACTTAGTTTTGCTAATGATTTATTGTGAGTGAAGAAACTGGAGATGGAAGGATTTGTGATTTAATATGTATAAAGAAGAGTGAAATAAAAAAAAATTTCATTTAAATTTAATAATTAGTAGTAACTTCAAAATTGAAATTTAAAATGTCAATAACAAATAAAAAGATATGTTATTAAGGGAGATGAAATGGTGGTATCCACTACTTACCAGATTTAAAAGTCACAACTTAAACGTTTCTATTAAGGCCATAAAAGTTGAATTTTGTTTCTAAAAGCGTTGGGGGATGTGTAACTACTATATGCAACAGATGTAAAAATTAAAATGTTTCTATTTTGTGTCCTCTTCCCGTTGCAAAGCACGGGTACAACAGCTAGTACTAAATATATATCCTTATCTCACCTGGATGAGCAAACAGCACTGTGTAATGCCACAGATCCTTGGTCCATATGGGTTTGTTGTCTTGGGGTGAACGGAACATAGTGTCAGGGAAAATGTACATGTGATCCTCATTCAGCCCCATAACTCGGTTCACGTCACTCTTGTCAAACTTAACACACAAAATTATAGTAAAACTGCACTTTAAGTACAAGTTCAAACATTATGGCTTGGGAACCTTTTAAAAAAACAGTGTTTAGTATCATTGTATATTTGAAACTGTAAATATTATTTTGTTATCAATTAATTTTTATGCAAACAATTTCAGGTTCGGAAGCCGTAAAACACTATAATAACAGAGGTTTATTGTAAAATTCTTATTGTTTAAAAAATATCAAACTGTACGAAAAGTCGTTCTTTTAGCTTGGCTCGGTTAAAAATTTTGCGTTTTTAACATAAAACACTAATTGACATGAACACATTCTGTCATTACTGAACTAAACTATGTCAATATTTTTGTTTTTGCTACAGCTTGAGCATGGAATGGGATGTATATTACTATTATATCTCACTCCAAAAGTGACTCCTGCGATTGTACCCTTCTTGTCGTACATTATGAAGAATCTCGGGTCGTTTTTGTGAGACACGAAGCTCGTCCTCAGGTCAGTGTCTTGATGAGCCACATGCCACCGCTCTCGCCCGTCAGCCGCAGTGGCCTCTCGCAACGTCAGCGGCAGCGGGAAATAGGCGTTGAAGGGATTTCCCCATCTTGCTGACATGCAACACAGTTTAGTATGACGCCATGTAGTTAAGTATGAAATCATAGCCAAAACTAAATAAATTCGTCATTTTGGGGATATTTTTGCGTATTTGAACCAACCTTACACTTTATTTCTACAATAGTTGAGTAAATTACAACCCGTCGGAAAAAAGGTTATTCGAACTAGGTAGTCTTGTTTTCCACCGATGGCGTTTAAGATATCCATCGGTGTATAATTAAAGTTTCGCACAAGCAGCAACTATTATTGCGTTTATATTGGCAAACCATGATGGTTGTAAAGAACGGAACGTCAAGAGACTCGGTCCTCCATTTGAAGTGGCAATATTAGCTAACCAAAATACTTGATCAAATTAAATATTTTAAACTAGTATTATCAAACTACAGACAAAATTTAAACTTACACCCTTAACTTTGTAAATTATGACGAACAAAATCTTTGATTTAAAACATAAAGTTTATTTACAAAAACGTGTTATTTGTTTTAACCCTTTTGATCGCCTGTAAGGATATTGAGATATTACCTGTTAATTCGAGCTGGTTAAGTGGATCTGCAACCGAAAGAAAATCAATTGCAGTAGTTTATTTCTTAGTTTCGATACAAGTAAACTTAACAACATACAAAGGGACAACATGCAGGTATTACATCCCATTAGAATCTGCATTTGTTATAACGAACTAAAAGTAATATCTGTCTTTAAAGTCGATTTATTGATTTATTTATTTAAAGCTAAGTTTTTTTTTAATTATCTGGAAAACCGCAGGCAACAAGTTTGCTTAAAGTCTCTCAGAGGTAGCGGTAGTCAAAAGTGGTGTACCCCATGAATCGGTTCTGGGCCCTTTACTGATCCTTGTTTTAATTACCTTCCTGTAAATATTAGTTGCAAGAAAGTCATATTTGCTGATGAGACCGCCCTCTTCTGTTCAGGTAACAATATTGCTGAGCTCTGTAACATTATGTCTGATGTGATGGCAGATGGCACAATCTGGTTTGAATCTCCTTTTTAACACCAATAAAACCCAACAAATATGGTTTTCCTTATGCCAGTTTGATGTTTAATCTGATGTAGTTGTAGATTATGTCGTTAAGGTATTACCGTTAACACAAAACTTACCTGGGATTCTCACATACAGAATGTTTGTACCAGACTAGCTACAGTAATTTCTCTTTTGTAGCATTTAAAGAAGCTGTTCCTTAAAGTCTACCTGAAAAATGTGTATTATGCTTTGTTTAATGGAATAATTTCTTATGGCATTCGGCTGTGGGGGAATGGCCACAGTACTGATAAAGTCTTGCGCTTACAAAAAAAAGGCGATGCGCAATACAAACTCAGCTTTTAAAGCACACAGTAAACCCCAACCCCTCTTTGTCAGCGAAAGAATCTTTCCTGTATATGTATGTTTGTATGTTGCATGTTAAGCAACGTCTGCATGAGTATCCACTCAGAAGTAGTGCGCCAAGGCCCCACAAGAAAAACAGGACATGCTGCAGGATCCATGACGTCACCCTAGTGGATAGATTTCATTGATAAATTCATTGCCATCACCATTCCCATATGAAATAAACAATCTGGCTGTTTGTAAGTTTTTAATGGTAAGAATTTAGTACAACTATCCACCACTGTGACGTATTGTTGCGCTGCTCGTGCTGCAGCATGGCCTGTTTTTGTTTTTTCTAGTGGGACCTTGAGTGTGCATGGTTGGTGCACTAGAAGCATGTCCTTACTCGAACAGCTTTATGTTTGTTTGAGCAAATCACAATCCCATGTGTACAAATTTTTTTAACAAGTTGCCTGTTTCTGCACGTAATGTGTCTTCGCTAAATTTAAGTCGCCTGTTTCCAATTGGTGGTTGGCTGCAATGTCCTTCTACAAACTGGATGATTTTTTTTTTAATTGCCTGCTGTTAATATTCAATTTTAAAATCTGTCTGTGATATAGTCAAGGCTTAGTTGTTTTTATGAGAGTTGATTTGTTTGTTGTAAGTTATTGTTTTTTTTTATTTTTTTTTTTACATTCATTTCTTGTTCCTGTTATGTTTTTACTAATTTATTATAAAACTATTTATACACTGCATGTTTTGTATACTTAGTGTACCTGTTTCATGATTGCTCTAGTCTTTGCATGTTTTTAAAACCTTCAGTATTTTATTTCTATAATGACTGCGATAGTTTGCAAGTATTACACTGCACTTGTTGTAAGTTTGCTTTTATCTTGTCTGTAATCTTATTGGGCTACCATTAGTTGTTAATGGCCTTCATCTAATGCATGCATTGTACAAAGCGCTTATAATGAATACAAATTCTTGATTCTCTTGAGAAGCCATTGAATTTGTTTGTTTGTAACTACATTGCTAATTCAAAGTTATTACGAGCATTGTTGCAGGATTTAATGATTTCAAAAAAGTTTGACGCTTATTGTTTAAAGTGATTACCCGATGCCACAGAAAGTTAAACTAACAAAAGTCACTAGAGTTACCACCAGAAACTAGGCAGGTTTCATACTTTACCAGACTCTCGCCGCACTGCACAGATGCTAGTGGTGCTAGTGACACTTGACAATAGGCATCAAACAGCTGTATCTAGCTGACTTGCTTTGGTGAATCGTTTTGAAATACATAAGCACAACCAATACCTATTGATTTTCACGTGCACGATATCTAGATGTTCATCAATAGACAAATAATATTAGGTTTTCTCTTAAATCTCAGGTAGATTTGGTCACTTCAATTCAAATTCCATTCACATTGAACACGCCATTCTGGTTCCAATTACCTATTCTGATTTACGAGAGAATGTGCCCCCAAAGATGTTGCTACTTTAATGGGTGAGGTTCATTTGTCCGAGTTTTCAACTGTCCGAGTTTGTTAAAAATTAAAAAAATATTTGAAAAATCATTTGTCCGAGTTTTCAACTGTCCGAGTATGGTTTAAATAATAATAATATTTCGTTAAATCAACTGTCCGAGTTTTCATTTGTCCGAGTTTTTAAATTATTTAAAAAAATATCAAAATATCATTTGTCCGAGTTTTCAACTGTCCGAGTAGGGGCAACATCAAAATGTGACAATGCGCGCCGAGACTAGCGTGTCTAAAGCGCCTGTTCAGAAGTCGATGTGAACCCCTTCTGTGAAGGAGTCAGGCATTGTGCGAGCCGCGAGAGGCCCTCACGTTGACTTAAGAAAAAATATATTATTTTTATTATAAGACTAATTTTACAATTTTTAATTATAAAATTAAACTTTCATCACCAAACACGACCAACCAAACTTGCTGATAATATAATAATGGCGGGGGTATTTTATATTATCAGCAAGTTTTTTTGGTTGTGTTAGGTGATGAGAGTTTAATTTTATAATTAATAATTGTAAAATTAGTCTTATATAAAAATAAAATAATTTTTCTTAATTCGACGTGAGGGGCTCTCGCGGCTCGCACAATGCCTGACTCCTTCACAGAAGGGGTTCACATCGAGTTCTGAACAGGCGCTTTAGACACGCTAGTCTCGGCGCACAGTGTCACATTTTGGTGTTGCCCCTACTCGGACAGTTGAAAACTCGGACAAATGATATTTTGATATTTTTTTAAATAATTTAAAAACTCGGACAAATGAAAACTCGGACAGTTGATTTATCTATTTATTATTAGTTATTTATCAAAACTCGGACAGTTGAAAACTCGGACAAATGATTTTTCAAATATTTTGTAATTTTTAACAAACTCGGACAGTTGAAAACTATCCGAGTTTTGATAAATAACTAATAATAATTAGATAAATCAACTGTCCGAGTTTTCATTTGTCCGAGTTTATTAAATTATTTTAAAAAATATCGAAATATCAAGTGTCCGAGTTTTCAACTGTCCGAGTATGGTTTAAATAATAATAATATTTCGTTAAATCAACTGTCCGAGTTTTCATTTGTCCGAGTTTTTAAATTATTTAAAAAATATCAAAATATCATTTGTCCGAGTTTTCAACTGTCCGAGTAGGGACAACATCAAAATGTGACACTGCGCGCGGAGACTAGCGTGTCTAAAGCGCCTGTTCAGAAGTCGATGTGAACCCCTTCTGTGAAGGAGTCTGGCATTGTGCGAGCCACGAGAGCCCCTCACGACGACTTAAGAAAAATTATTTTATTTCTATTATAAGACTAATTTTACAATTATAAATTATAAAATTAAACTCTCATCACCTAACACAACCACCCAAACTTGCTGATAATATAAAATACCCCTGCCACAGCAAACCTTCAGACGAAGCGAATTTAAACTTGTCTGATTACATATTTACTAAAATATTTCCATAAATAAGCGAGTGCTTAGGTTTGCTGCTATGGGGAAGGTAAACACTGTTTTTTTTTACCATACGTCAATAAATTTTTTCCAAATTTTTCCAAATTTGATCAACATATCCATAAACAAAAAAACTAAAACAGTTTTCATCTTCTCCATAAGAATAACATGGGTATTTTAAATTTGCATTTTTTTATTTTCTCCGTAACCATTAGGCATACAACAATGCTTCAATATACTACATCATTTCTTTTTTTAGTTCTACAAAATGGTTGTAAAATATATTCCAAAATGTTATGATTTTAGGGTCAAAAATGGGGAAAACCCCATTTTTATTCCACAAATCTTTATTCCCATTATCCGATCATGCTGGTTCGCGAACTCTTTCGAATAAATGTATGTTTACACGTTTATACCAAATTTCATCAAAATCGGATCACTTTTGTTCGAGTTATCGTGCTAACGGACACATATATATATATATGAATATATAAATATGTATATGTATATATGAATTTGAACATATATGGTGTTTTTGGTCTCTGGGGACCTCAAAACGCAAAAGTGAATCGGTCGCGGGTCCAGGTCAGGTCTTACCGTGAAACCTTATTCCCTATATGGGAAATTCGCAAAAAAGATATAAAATTAAAATCTAATTAAAGTTTACCAATAAAAAAATAAAATAGTCCTGTTTATAAAATAAAATTGTAATTACTCAAATTTATACAGTATAAAAGATGTACAGTTAAGAAGTAATCGAGTTCTAAGCAAAATATTTGACAAAAAGTTAATGTCACGGATGTCAGTTAATGTCGGGGGATTCGATCTGGATACCTCATGAACACCATTCAAGCTCGTTTTTCACTACACCACGAACACTAATGGATTGTACAGTTCGCATGTTCCGTAACGATTTTAATTCCGGAACGGAGTGGTCGTGGGTGTTTGTTCCTCCAGTGAAGTTAACTGGAAAGTTCAGTTCAAAGTGAAGTTCACACAAAACAACAATAAATACACACATTTAAGATACAACCATACTAACACGATCCGTCTTGGGGGTTAAGTTTACACAAACTCAAATAGTAAAAAAATGTACTCAATGCGTTTCATTGAATTGAAAAATAAATAACCGCAATTAAATTATACAGCTGATCAAAATTTAAGCAATTAAGTTCTCCATAACGATAACATGGGAACCTTCAAAGCCTCTGGGGCCAGGGCCCATGGGACTTTTTCAAAAATGTAAGGCCAGTTTGCAAATCTACGTGACACGCTCTTTCCAATGAGACGTCAATGGATAAAATAGGTTAAGAAATGGCGGAGGAGTTCAACCAACAAAGTTTCGTGTAGCGTTATATGGATAGAAGATAGATCCTCTCGCACAATGCCTGACTCCTTCGCAGAAGAGGTTCACATCGACTTCTGACCAGGCGCTTTAGACACGCTAGTCTCGGCGCGCGGTGTCACATTTTGATGTTGCCCCTACTCGGACAGTTGAAAACTCGGACAAATGATATTTTGATATTGTTTTAAATAGGTAATTTAAAAACTCGGAAAAAGAATACCTCGGACAGTTGATTTAACTAAATATTATTATTATTTAAACCATACTCGGACAGTTTAAAACTCGGACACTTGATATTTCGATATTTTTTTAAATCTTTATATTTAATACGCGACATGAAACTTTGTGAACAATAAGGCTTTTTTGTTTTAAGATTTAACCCCACATATTATATACCAAAATGTTCGTCTAGGTGTGTAGATGTGCAAACTGGCTTTAGATTTTCGAAATTGTCTTTTTAAGGGCGTGGGCTGCTCTCAAAGTTCCTTCCATAAGGATAACATTGTGATTTATTTGAATGTTATTATATTTTGAAATAGATGCTAATACATTAGTTTAAACGTTTAAACAAAAATTAAATCCCAGCTGTTTTGTTTGGTTTTGAAATGTAAACAGTTTGCATGTTTTTAAAAACAATTAGAAACCCGGCAAAGAAATGTTACCTATAGGACACGACGGGAGAAAAGTTTTACATTATATTTTCGTTGAAACATGTCAAGGACCCGACGACAAAGAAATATTGCCGGTCGGACACTGTGAGTCAACATAGGGCAAGCAATGCAAAACGTAAGGAGCCCAGACGAGGAGCTGGAACAGTTAGTGGCATCGTGTACTTACAAAATTACACTGACAAATACAAGAATTCAGCAGCATTCACTTGGCAAGATGGCATTAAAATGTCAGAAATGTGGTGTGCTACATTTTAAAGAAGAACAAAGAGGACGAGGTGAAGGATTTTATTCTGCTGCCATAAAGGAAAAGTGAATCTACCACAAACAACAGAAGAAATCTATTAATCCAGAGCCTACGTAATGGAGCAAATCATTATGGAGCAGAAACTACAAAGAGAACATTAGATCGTACAACTCTGCGTCAGCACTCGAGCTAAAATTGAAGGACATAACGGTGGAGGGCCTTTAATGTATAAGGTGCACAATTTATCACTCAATTGGCAATTTTCAACCGTCAGAAGGGGAGCATCCCACATATGCCCAAATTTATATCTACGGACGTCAAAACCGCTGTTCAAGGAAGAATACTTTATACTTTATACTTTCTTATGAAATGGCGACCATACTATGTAGGTATTTTAAGCCAAGTATGAATGGAGATGAGTGTAGGATGAGTGGCGCGATCTTGTAGTCTTGTTAGTGACTAAGGCCGACATTCCTTAGACACAGCTGTTAATTAATAGCCCAAACAGCTAATGGCAACTAAGGGACCTACAGTTTATAGTGGAATCCGAACCACATCCTTGGTATATACGAATTGGTCTAATTATCAGGATAGTACTGCGGATAGTAGTAGTAGTCACTATTGCGGACGTTAATCCACACCAGGGAGTATCCCATCCACAGCGCATGCCTATAAATATCCACAATCCGTGACCTCCAAGTAGCTGGATTACTTACAGGACGACGCCACCCGTCCCAGTCTAAACAAAGCTAATGGTTCTTGCAGCACTGAACTCATGCACATTTTTACTCAACATTTGGTTGATTTTAATCCATACACGCAAGTTTTCAGCATGATTAGTTCCGTCCTGCAAAATACTCCTAATGAACAGCAAAAGAACTTAGAATGCATATAGCCAACGATCGAGCTCAAGACCAACGTCGATACAACGACGTAACTTCTATCGACGTTGCTATAATATCCTAATTTATTATTTGTGCGAATTCGCACAGGTTCACCTAGTAATTTAATAAACTCGGACAAATAAAAACTCGGACAGTTGATTTATCTAATTATTATTAGTTATTCATCAAAACTCGGACAGTTGAAAACTCGGACAAATGATTTTTCAGATATTTTGTAATTTTTAACAAACTCGGACAGTTGAAAACTCGGACAAATGAACCTCACCCAGTAGAAAGTGGGTCATTGCATGATTGAGACCATGTTTGAAGTGCGAGATTTATCGAGCACTTTAAAGAGTCGAGATATGTATACTTTCACTCGTGTTTTGAACGTTACTTTTCGCTACACTACAAAGACTAAGTATTTTCTTGATTAAAACAGACATTGGATATTGGGTAGTGTAGCGAAAATGTTGATTACGGTCCAAATTCATAAATAGCATTCTACATTACGTCGTAGATAAAAAAAAAATAGGTCCAATAGTCAATGATATTACTCTCTTATTAGATTTCTCATCCTTATGGAACAGCTGGATCCAATTTTATTGTTAGTTCTGTCCTGTGCACTATAGATGTTGTGTTTGTTTCTTGTTATTTCAGTCATTTAAAACCTCGTTAAACCAAATAAAATTATCTAGTCATAAACAAGTATAAGTCGTCATAAGTCGTCCCCTAGTTATATAACCAAACAGTTAAGCACAAATTATAAAGTTAACCCTTAAATAATAGAAACAAAATTTTGTTGTAAGTGTCACCGGACATGAACTAGACACGAAAAACGAGATTCAAAATGTACAATGGGATGAAAAGTCTACTTGTGTTGGTTAGTCTATGATTACATCTTTATACAGTACTATATGTTAAGCCAGTTTAACTCCTACATTAGTCACCTGATGCCGCCGAAAGTTGAACTAAGACAACAAGCACTAGTGGATACCAACTACGACACATGTTTACTGTTGTCTGCTACATCACACTGCAGTACTGTGTACCCAGTTGCCAGTAATTACGACGATACTAATCATAAAACGGTTGTGCTTTATATTGCTGGTTTCCATCAGTGTATATGTTATAATCCATCGGCATATTTTGGGGTGTAACTGAATTTACGCCAGGGCCAAATTATTATGTTCGCTAGCTCACATAATCGCTCACATGTTAATACTCAACACTTATTTAAAGAACGTATACGCATAATGTTGAACTCAAGATTTAGGTGTGCAAAAGAAAGACTTTTTCATAATTACCTATGCCAATCGAAATAGTAAAAATAATTCCAAGATCACTATTTTCTACCAAGTTTACAAAAACAAGAGCCAAAAACTAGGATAAGTTTTATTAGGTGAATAATGAAAATCCATAGAAATTCTATTTTGTCTTTTACGATTCATAGTTGAAGAATGGCGAAACTAGTCTCATCTCATGTCTCTCTGTTTGTGATTCAATAACACTTTCCTAAGGGCAACACTTTAAGTAGAGTAAAGTAGTCGGATACGCGAGGGTGCGAGTAGGCGATTGACATATTATGACTTCTGATTGACCAATTTTAGTTATGTACAGGCGTACTTGTGGTTTAATATTAGGAGAACATGCTAAGGTAAATTTAAACACATTTATGGAATTGAAGCAATTGGCCGATGAAAATATGTTAGATACAGCGTTTAATTGTTTATGAGTTCCTCAGTCACCTCAGTTGTACCTGTGTTATTGTGTGCAATGGGTTGGTAGTAACAGTCTAGCATTATGTGGCATCATTATGTGATGGCGTAAATCTTGTTAAAAAACATCGAAACTTAAACGATATAACAATTGCTCAAACAGTTTGTAAGTTATTCAAATTTGGCAGTGACAAAAAACTTATCCTAGTTTTTGGCTCTTGTTTTTGTAAACTTGGTAGAAAATAGTGATCTTGGAATTATTTTACTATTTCGATTGGCATAGGTATTTATGAAAAAGTCTTTCTTTTGCGCACCTAAATCTTGAGTTCAACCTTATGCGTATACGTTCTTTAAATAAGTGTTGAGTATTAACATGTGAGCGATTATGTGAGCTAGCGAACATAATAATTTGGCCCTGGCGTAAATTCAGTTACACCCCAAAATATGCCGATGGATTATAACATATACACTGATGGAAACCAGCAATATAAAGCACAACCGTTTTATGATTTGTATCGGAAATCGGTTTGCAGCAACTTGTTTGGATATAAAGGGCTACAATAATAAATTATAGTCAGTTTTTAAAATTTTGCCCTTAAGGGCAGCGAGGGTAGGGGGGGGGGGGGGTAGCTCAAAATGTTCAAATAGCAAGTATAGTCGAGTTTGGTATAATTTTACAGGTCTTGACAAAACATAACAATTAACACAAAGAAAATACAAATCGGACCATTAATAACAAAATGGAAGATAAAAATGATTAAGACAATGGTTATTAAAAGTAATTTTGAACTGCCATTTTGTTACTAATGGTCCGATTTCTATTTTCTTTACGTTAATGTTTCGTCAAGACCTTCAAAATGATGCCAAACTCGACTATACTTGTTATTTGCAAATTTTGAGCTACCCCCACCCCCGCTACCCCTAAGGGCAACATTTTCAAGACTGACCATAATTATTGTAGTCCTTCATATCCAAACAAGTTGCTGCAAACCGATTTCAAATAGCTCAAATAGTTAAACAGTTAAAAGGGGTGCAAGCTAATTTGTTTGCCACCCTCATGGTTATTTGGATTTGAAACGTTTTAGGGTGCTATTTTTTTATTAGTGGGCCAATTTTAGTTTTCTTTATTTCAATTTTTATGTTTCGTCAAGACCATAAAAAATGTATCTTAGTTTTAAATTTTTTTTTCGTTTTAAGCAACGTATCAATTTAGAAGACTTTTTCATAATTACCTATGCCAATCGAAATAGTAAAAATAATTCCAAGATCACTATTTTCTACCAAGTTTACAAAAACAAGAGCCAAAAACTAGGATAAGTTTTATTAGGTAAATAAACAATTTAAACTCACACAGTGAGTAATTTGCCAATTGTAGGCATGATACAGCACAATTCATACAACATTTAATATACACAAAGATACAAATGCGTAGTATTAAACACTGAAATAAACAGTTATAAAACAATACTTACAATGTATTAGTGTATTTATCCCCACGATAACAAATACACCAAAATTGGATCGATATTAACCCTATTTTATTGTGTCAATGGTTTTTATTTAGAGACAATCATCTTTATTTTCTACATAATTTTGAAACGAGCTGAACAAATTATTTAATCTTCATCAAAGAAGTTTTTCATCTCTAAATACGATTTTAATATTAATGGTTATAAACTATTTTCTGGGAATCAATTTATTTTTATATTATAAATTTTATCTCAAAATTTCCTAAAAACGGATTAAATTTAATCTGAATACAACCAATCAATGTTGGGGTCACGATTCAACCGACACGTCACTTAGTCGTAAATTCAGTAAATCAATTCAACAATAATGAATACGAAAAAATAAGAGGTAATTTCATAACCCCATATGTCCAAAAAAATATTTTTTTCTGAGTTTGAACTTGCTTCTTGTTAGAATTAGAAACTACACTTAATTCAATGTGCTGAAACTAGCAAAATCCCACACATCCATGTTAAAATAAATGTATACGACTGATGTCTGAAGCAAAACGACAAACATAGTCTATTAGTTTTTCCCCTTTCCTACAAAATCAGAAAAAATGGACATGTGAGGTTATGTAAACTACCTCCTCCGGGTCGACGTGTTGTTTGATCAGTAATACAGACTCCAATGTTTGCGTAGCATGACGATGATAATACAATAAAATTTCAGCAACATTATTGTTTACAATATGAAATAATGAAATGAAATGAAATAGAATAATGAAATGAAATGAAATGAAATAATTACTTCAAAACAAATAAATACAAAATAATACATTCTCTTGGAACTACGTTGCCACATTATCCAGTATCCGGTACTCGTGGCAAACGTAAAACAAAAAAATTAAACAATTCTATTAACAACTTGGTGAGTCCAGTCTCTTCACTTCAAAAATAAAAGTTGCCGCTCTCTGTGGCGTCCTAAGTATAGGAATATAAAACTAGAGCTTAAAAAATTTCAAATCCTAAAGTTGACAGAAATACTGTTATAACTAAATATTTATTACCCTCTCGTGAAATGGAAAACAAACAAGAAATTACAAAAATGGCGAAACTTTAAGGATTTATTGAAGAAACAAAACATTCTTTTTGTGGTTGATGTAAATTGTTATATTAGTATATTATTAAGAAAATATACGTCCGGATTACTAAAGAGCCAATGTTTTAATTTTGAAGAAAATTTATCTAAGGTCAAACAAAATCTGATATCTTCCGGTAGTTGGTTGAAGTATTTGGGACCATTATACTGATAAGAATGTCTGAAAAATGACTTGTTTACTTTAGGTAGGTACCTAATCGGAATATGCCTTGATTGTTTCGTCTAGTATTATACAAAAGATTTCTTGTCCCAGTATTTCCACTGCGTACAGAGAAGAGTTTTAGAACCTTAAAAATATATAAGTACTGAACTGGGAGTATTATTAAGTGAGACAATAACGGGAAAGAGCTATCACTCTTAGTACTTTAAGTTATTATCCTTAAAAATTATTTTGTGTAAATCTTAACTTTTCAATATAACTTTGAAAAGCTCCGTCCCAGCATTGAATAACATACTGGAGTCTTGATTCGACAAGAGCAAAATAAAGAGTTCGAAGTAAGAAGGTATTACAAATGTTTTTTTTATAAAATAGAAAATTCTTATAGTTTGTTTGATTTCTGTATTTAGTGTGGAAATATGTCTGTCCCAGTTTAGATTTTCATCCAAAACTACTCCGAGATATCGAAAATGCTTGACCTTTTCAATTGATTTGCAAATGCATGAAATTAAATTACAATTCGAAGAATGATAAACTAGATTGTTTGGAAAGTTAAAGCTATTTATTAGACTGAAATTTATGTATTTTGTCTTATCAACATTTACCTGCATTTTATTTGATTTGCTTTACACCAATCAATCAAAAGCTTAAGATCTTCTTGGATGTAACCGTAAACAGTAAAAATATCTTTTTGGGAATAAAAAAAACGCAATGTCGTCAGCAAAAGCACATATGTGTCCATGGAACGGAAGCTTGAGAAGGTCATTTATAAATATGAGGAAGAGGTTTGCAGAGGTAACTGATCCCTGGGGAACATCTGTCCTGACATGTAGAGGAGAACTTAGTTGGTCTAAGATCTTTGTTTGCTGTATTCTGTTTGAGAGAAAACTAGAAAAACAATTATTAGCTACACCTCTAACACCAGCAGCATCTAATTTAGATAATAAAAGATTATGGTCAACTCAATCAAATGCTTTATATATATATAATGCTTATATCAGCTGATATATTGGAAATCTATATCTATACTATTATATATAAATCTAGTGGTGTCTGTCTGTATGTGTGTTACTAATAGGCGCAACAACTACTGAACTGACTGGACTTACATTTTACTAAAATATAGCTACCATACCAAGGACCATTATAGGACTATTCACACTTCGATACTGACTGTGGGCCTTGCCCCTTTGGCTTTAAAAGTTGTGAGGTGAGGATTTTAAAAGTAAATATTGATTGGTCACCATGACTACAATGAGAATACTCACAATGTTTACATTTGCTTTGACATTTCAATGTAAACAAGAAGAACTGCCAAATTGCATGTTTCACAATTTAAGACAGCTGATCCAATGAAATTAAATATAATATTTTACACAATTATGTGGTTGGTTTATTTAATCAAAAAATTTATCAAAGATCATTTATTCAAAAACCATGTAATTGATTATAGAAATAAAAGAATATTCTAAAAGCGTTGTTGTATCAACTCAGGCTGCTCTGCTTTCGATTTTTAAAGTGTCTTAAGTGTTATGAAAA